TGTGATACTTGACCCGTTTCCTCTCAAATTAGACTATTAATTCGTCAAATACTGACAAACTCATTGTTATCATGAAATCATTATTTTGCCTTGCGATCTCTCTTCATCATAAATTCTAACTCCTTATGCACTTCATCAATATGTGTAACACCTTTATAATTGTTGCATAGAGAATATTTCTTTTTAGTACTGCTGTTTTAATAACAAATAGAACATCAGAGATGGCGCTGCCTGTTGGTCTATTGCATTCGTAAAATTTTGCACCTAACCAGAACCACAAGTATGCAACCACCATTGCAATTGCTGAGATCATAGAAAACAGATCTAATGAAATCGAGACAAAAACAGCGGCAAGAGCATCCAAGATGGATGTAGAGCGCCACCAGACATTGCTACGGCTATGTTGTCGTTCTTTATCCTTTTCTGTGGCTGGGATATTGTTCGCCATGAATTGATCATCAAGAAATGCTTTCAATGATACCTCTTTTGTTGCTTTTGCCAAAGTTATTAGCACCAGTCCCAAATAAAAAGTTGGAATCTTTGCATTTCTATTTCGGGCTGCATTCCAGAACAGCACTAATCCCTACAAAAAGTTGATTAATTTAGAAAATTCATGAATACGACAAAGTGAGATGGGTTTAATATTAATCTCTCATGACTACTCACAATGATGTAAGATATGGTGGAGAAAACCACCATTTTGAAGCGGCCCTGATAGGCGTCCGATGCAATAGCAAATAAAATTTGCAGAACTGCCGAGGTTCCTTCCTGTAAATTGACAACTTTAGCCGATTTTGGTACGTCCCATACACCTGAGAGGTGGGTGATCAATATATTTACCAGCGCGTTCTCCACGAAACTGTGAACAAATATGAGGCCTACAAAAATTTAAGCCAAATGCTAGAAATTAGGAATAAATAATCAGAAATAATCGGCTACAGACACTATAATTATATTGAACCTACCAAATATAAACATGGCTTCCTTTGAGAAAACAACGTAGTAACGGAACTTCTTCAAACACCAGTTGATTATCCTCATAATTGGGATTGAGCCGATTCTACTGCTACAACGAAACCTGATTGTATATGTTGACCCTAAAAAATGTTGCCAACAGATGCCGAGCCCACTCGTGCACACGTAAGCTTGATCCAACACGTTGATGCCGATTAACGGTCAAGACGACTCCGAAGCTGAACGTGGGAGTAGCTCAAAGACACGAGACGTCTCCGTTCGGGCACTCGACAAGATAAACGTAACACGATTTTATAAAAAACCAATCAATAATGAACAAGATTTGTAGTAAAAAACGCGGATTGAGATGAGAGAGGAGAAAAGTATTGCTTCAAGTATTTAGATTTTTATTAACCCTTTTGTGTTACATGGTGGGGGTATTTATAGTGTTACCAATGAAACAATGACCTTTGGATCATTTTACACGTGGTACCATCTTCTCTGCCAAGACATCAAATCATAGCCATCAAGTTGACTCTCCTAGCCTTACAAGACATTAAATGCTCTTACATTGACAAGAAAATACACAAATACACTTTTACACAAGTCACATCAATCATTCAAAGTGAAATTTTCATCATGAATGAATCTTCACACTTGGTCAATAGTTGGTAGAGCCTCAGGTCCATGGTGGTGCTATGAGCCTCGGAGAAGGGCCTCGAAAATAGGCTAACCATGATGGCCTCAGGTAATGGGCCTCGGAATAACCTTAGGCCTCGGTTGACACGTTAGAGGCCAGGAAAA